CCCCTCAATAGCTAGCAAACTATGAGAAGCCACACAATACCTGCATTTGAAACTGGGTGAGTCAAATCAAGGGTGTAACAAAAATGTCAAAGTATTCTTTTATCCAAGCATACTAAACTTAGCCTGTCAGGGTGAGACTTTAATAAAAGACTGAGAAATTATGTAGACAGAATATGTAAAATGCAAAACAGAAAAAAAGTAATGCATGTCAATCAAAAAACATGCAGTTGTCTTCTGCACTTTCACTGGACAGCTCAGAAAAGGACAGAAAATTTTAAAAATTTAAAGCTTTTCTAGATGTTTTGGTTCACTGTTTTTTCCAAAGTTGATACCAAAATGCCTATTTCAATATAAAATCCATACAACTTCATACGAACATTTTAAAAAGGCAAATAGATTTCAACTGAATTCAGAAAAGGATGGGTTCTTGAATATGAAATGGCTACCCGCAAGGTTCTTGGGAAATTATTATTATTTATTTCTGATAATGACATCAAGGATTCCTCAAAAGTACCCTTGGCACTGTAGCTCGCAAGCCTGAAGAAACGTGCTGTGAGGACGCAATGAGAAGCAGTTACAGTTTTAGAGGTGGGAAGAAAACCCCAGACGAATATTCTGGTAGGTAGGGACTGAAAACCCAATCCACATGCAGACCCAAAATAAAGTATTCTCTTGGATTTCTGCTTCAAATAGCAATTTCAAGCGTAGTTTACAACTTTTATGACAACGCTTTGGGCAATGCATGATGTGGAAAGCTTTGATTTAGTAAATACACAACTCACATTCGCGAGATGCAACACTGACACAGAAGGGACCACTGCAGAAAAGTCGCACTAGGAAGTGGTATCGATGGCAAGGCATATGCCGGAGCATAACATCAATGGCATCGAGAGACAGGTGACACACATACGATGGTTGGGCATCAAGTCCTCATGGAGAAACAACATAACAGCACCATCCATGGAGCGGTGATGTTGGTAGGAAAACATCCACAAATGTAGCATCAGCGACGAGACACAATACTCAAATCCTTACATGGGTTGTCCAGGATGGGATTCCCCGGTCACTGAATACATGGGCGGAAAGGCATCCACTGAGATGGAAGAGCTTCTCAAACAGCTGCGTAGTGGGGACTGGTATCATTCACATCGCTGTGACATCCTAAAGAAAGCAGCATAGACTGGATGGCGTCTAGTCTCACTTCAGTTTCTTGGCATGATTACAAAAATCAAAGAATGGATACCATTAAACACACATAAAACCATGGAAAAATTTGTTGTTCTTAGCTCCGAAAACAGATGACAGTCAACCAAACAATTTGCATTAATGCACAAATTCAAAATGTTACTCTTGAAACTTTAAATTTATTTTTCTGTTTCAATTAAAATTCAAACTTTGCATTTGCTATTTGCAGGCTTATATAGCTTATAGTTGAACTAGGAATTGAGTGAGTAGTGTACATGTACAATATATCTTGAAGCCATATTTTTTGGATATCTGCTCGAGTTAAAGTTTACACCCTATAAGGTACGTACCCGGTGCATGTACATGTACCTAAGAATCATAACCCCTTGTACAATAAAAACACACTGATTCTAATGACACTATCAAGACAAACTGATGTCTTTACGTGGACATCAGGGAATAGGTAGTTGTGGGCTTGACTCTTGATTACATTAGGATTGAATCCTGGTTTTAGGAGTGAATGGAGGAGACATTAATTATGAGACATGGGCTAATAGATTTGGGAGCCAAGAGCCACCACAGGTAAAACCTGTGCACGTACATTTAAAAAAATCCTGAGAAGATGATGCAGCATTATTACAAAAATAAACATCATCAAATACAATTTCTGAGGCAAACTAACACACAGATACTGACAGTGTTGGCACTGATCTTTTGCAGGAGAGATTTTCCTTAACTCGTCAGTATTCTCATCAGTCCTAAATGTATTTCCTTTTAAAGCAACCTTTTAATGTTCGGTATGGAAAACTCAGGAGCCAAGAAGAATGTTCAGTATACCCCCATGTTTAGTACAGAGGTGTTAAAAATAGCGGTATTGGACTGAATCACTTAAACTGTTCAAGAACTTTACAGCACTGGAACCTAACAAACAGCTAAATTTTGGGGTATAACGTTCACTGCAGTCATTTAAACAAATTCATATTCCTAATGGAAATGCAACATAAAGTAATTGATGCAAAATGAACAAAATCTCATTTAACTACACTTGGACAAATTTAGGAGATTCCCATTGATGCAGGTCAATTTTGAAAAAAAGCATTCAGAGGGAGCTTCTTGAACAACAGCAGGCAATTTGTCTCAAAAATGATGAATCCTTCAAGATTTATGGAATGCCAAGATGGAAGCACTTTTAAATCTCTACCAGTAAATCTCAAATCATAACACGTCATCGCAAATCATCATATCCAAGACGTACCTTTGCCAACATCAGCTGGTCTTCCTCTGACGATTTCAACTCTCTGACTGACTACATGTACCTCTGCCATCAGCTTGTGCACCTCTGCTGATGTCAGCCTGTACACCTCCACTGTCGGCGTGACCACCTCTGCCGACTTTAGCACATCTATTTCTGCTGACATCATCCTGTCTACCTCTACCTTCAGCGTATCCACCTCGGCCGACTTCAGCACGTCTACCTCTTTCAACTTCAGCACCACTGCTAACTTCAGCCTGTCTATGTCTTCAGCCAATCTCTAATGACTTCAGGCTGTCTATCTGTGTGCTTTAGTGACTCTCTCTGCATGCAACAAAGGTACGTGTAAACAGGAAGATATTATTGTTTTACTAGAGAATCTGCAAAACCAAACTTTTACTTTCACCATTTGAAACTTTCAAGTTTAAAATGCACTTTACACTTTTTGTATGAATTATGAAAAGATGCATAATTGAGCTAAGAATGTAGCAAGGAAATATTCAAAGAATAAGTTTTAGTACGATGACAGGTTTACATGACACAAGTACATGAACATGTACATTGGAAAGTGCTGACACTCTTGGCCTTATTGCACGTTTATAACAAACCCAAAGACCAGAACAATGAATATTGAATCAACATTGTAAGGAAAATAGGGTTGGTTGTTCAGTCAGTTTGTAAGTCGTATTTCATTTATTTCAAATTTGTCTTTGGCCGGAAGGGGAATACTGACAAAGTTCCCAACAGCAACATTTCACACTATATGCATACTGGCATTCAAGTGTCAAATAATACCTAAAATGTCCATCAAATGTGACAAGTACTTTCGGCCAACACATCCAATGAAAATAACTATCTCCTGTGACAAGGAATATTACTACAAGACTTAAGCAATGTGCCAACATGTTCCTATCCAAATTGTCTTTATGTGTATCGATACATGTCACATAATGCAGCCCTACTGCACTGCACACAGGACTAATAGAGCAAGCTCCAAGTGTCAAAGTTCAGTTTTGAGCAGATTTAGCCAAAGCATTGCACTTGCACTAGTAATTATTAAAGTGAATTTCTGGTTATTACTGAATCTGAGATAGAGGACTGAAGTAGGAAGGAAGGGGAGAGACCTACAATATGGCACAGATGTCAAGTTTCCTGTGCACTATGCTGTTGCATCTGAGCGTATTAATCAGATATGTATGCATGGACGGTTAAATGGCAGTTTAATTCAGAATGGTCGCATGGTGTTCAATACAAGTTTTCATGCTGCTGGGTTCATACATGTACAACGGACAAAAACATCATTACAAAATGATCCCAATTTCAGAAGAACCAAATGTGATAAAACGTTGCTCATAGATCACAATATTTCCAATGTAAAAAAATGATGTTTTTATGACAAGTTTTTGCTTTCAGATGACTGTAGATTACTGCAAGGAAAAATCAATGGTGTGGGTTTATGGCATTGTTTCCTACCAGTACCTTCTTCATAAATTTGAGCTTCTCAAGTTCAGGATAGGAAAGAGACTTACCAAACTGTAGAGAGCACAGAAACTTCACAATTCCTGATTACATCAAATTGACGATTTGAGACACGACGTACACGTACAGTACATGTACATGTAAGGCTGCATGCTGAATTGTGAATAGCACCTGGAAAGAAAGAAAATGTCAAAATTGAAAATGCCAAAACCTAACTAAAAGAAACATTTCACTGCATGAAATGTATCAAGCAACAGGCTTGGAATTGTATTGAAATGTATGACATCATGGTGTGCAGTACTAAGCCAAAGAACAAGAAGTCTATGCAAGTGTAAAAATGTTTTCACCACTGCGACAACGAAATGTGAATGGAAACTCATGAAAATAACATTTTTTTTAAATGCAAATGTAAGTAGGAAGACATATAAAATAAGCATTTTAACGTAAGAAAAGGTTATGGAGAGATGTTTTTGACGACAGGAAAGACATCAGATTTTAACTGGCCCACCGGACCACCAGTTTTATTAGATCAGCTGGTCCACCGACTTTTCTACTGGCTTCGGGCCAGCGGACCACTGTTAATTTCAACTCCTAGTGTCTAAGGGCAGCTCCAGAAAAGTTTTCTCCTCATGTTTTAAAACAACTTCAAACAAACCCCAATTTTAAAGTGTATCACGAACGTTTGTGGAGTTATACCACAAATGACGGTCTTGACTTCTCAGGATTCTCCGACACCGCTACCACAGATCCCTCGTAACAAAAAACAAAACAACCTGACAAGTAATGTCATTGGATATGAATATCCAGAACCAGAAGAAAAACTCAGTATACAAGGTCTCAACCCCGTTCAACCTAAACAAAGTGAATTTTTTAATTTGTATAATTCAAACAATTTTAAAATGGGGCAAAAACAAATCTCACGTAAACTTGCTTTATATCACAGGAGAGAGCCAAGCGAACGTCGAAACGGTTTCTCACTATTGTTGCATCAAAGAGGAATTGAGACTACTGTCATCACAGATTACCACACACGACGGTAAAATCTATCATTGCAGTCGTTGCAATTCACTCTACAACAGCGAAGCTGATCGAGACGGACACTTTGAAGAGTGCAAATGGCTTGATACCCCTCCCTATTTTGTTGAAATGCCAAAAGAGACAACAGACGGGCCCTCAACACTGTCTTTCACTAGTTACCAATACAAACAAAAAACACCATTTGTGATTTATGCAGATTTTGAATCGATCTTACAGCAACCAGGTGGAAAAGCTCGCCCTCAAAAACATGTCACTTGTGGTGTTTATTACACGGTTGTTAGATGTGACACAAAAAGATTGCTCAAAGCTCTGCAGATGTTCAAACGCGGCTCAAGTTTTTCTGGAGCAACTGATGTTGGAAGTCGAAAAGATCAATGACATCTTTGCAAACCCTGAACCCTTACAGCTCACATGCGATCAAGAATAGCAATTTAGACAAGCTAGAACCTGTTGGATCTGCAAAAAAAAAAATCTGTTATAACAAATATCAGTGTTGGTGCGACAAACCAGAGATCTCACCGGACCCCAACGATAACTGATGTTTATGCTGTAACAAGAAATTCAGCAAAAACCCCAAAGTGAGACACCACTGTCACACGACGGGCCTTTAGGGGCACAACCCACACCAATTGTAACTTACAGCTCAAAGTAGTTCCCAACGAAACACAAATCCCAGTCGTGTTGCACAATTTAGACGATTACGACGCATATCTCATCATGCAAGGTGCAAGCCTAACTCAAGATAACGAACAAACTGACAAGATCTTTTGCATTCCCAAAAACAGCAAAAAGTATGTCTCATTTTCTCTAGACCAGCTTCAATTCATTGACCAGTTTCATTTTATGGCACCGTCGCTAGACAGGCTTGTAAAAGCGTGTCCAAAAAACAAAGTCAAATGGACCCAAGCACAAGCGTGTGGTGAGCAAAGCTCGCTTCTTTTGCAAAAAGGGATCTATCCCTACAAATACATGGACTCTTTTGAAAAGTTTAACGAGACACAACAACATGTACCACCCTGAGTTGCTTTTTATAGCAGTTTAAAACAAAACAGCGTCAGCGAATCAGAATACACCCAAGCACAACAAGTCTAGCAAAGCTTTACAAAATAGCGTCAGCGAATCAGAATACACCCAAGCACAACAAGTCTGGCAAAGCTTTACAAAATAGCATCAGCGAATCAGAATACACCCAAGCACAACAAGTCTGGCAAAGCTTTACAAAATAGCATCAGCGAATCAGAATACACCCAAGCACAACAAGTCTGGCAAAGCTTTACAAAATAGTGTCAGCGAATCAGAATACACCCAAGCACAACAAGTCTCGCAAAGCTTTGACTGTAAAACCCTGGGTGGCTATCACAAACTTCATGTCAAAACAGACACCTTGCTTTTAGCAGGTGTGTTTTAAAACTTTAGAGACATGCGGTATAAAAACTAAGATCTCGATCCTGCCAACTATTACAAAGCTCCTGGATTTTTTGGGGATGCCTTGTTAAAACAGACGGGTGTACAGCTCGAGATAATTACAGACCCTGACGTTCATTTGCGTATTTTAAAGTGCCAAACGCGGTGGCATCTCTAGCGTGGAAAGTGCACACTATGCAAAAGCAAACAATGAATTTATTGAAGATTTTGATCCAGGTAAACCCTCCACCTACATTGCCTATCTCGATGCAAACAATCTCTATGGGTGTATGTCTCAGCCGCTACCTTTTGCAAATTTGAATCTTAATTTAACACCCGATTATCACTATGGGTACATGCTCAAGGTGAATCTCGAGTACCCACAAGTGCTACACGATTCTCGCAACGATTACCCCCTTGTGCAAGAAAACCTAGTTACATGTATACATGTACCTATAGAAAGCTATCACAATTATCAAAAGAAATTACTCTACAAAAAAGACAAAAGCTATAACAAATTAATAGTGATGCTCGCAACAAAAGAAGAAAATGTTTTGCACTATTGCGTTTTGAAGCTAAACCTACACAAAAACTCAACACTCAAAAAAGTACACCACCTGTTAAGATTTAGACAACAAGCTTGGATGAAGAGCTTTATCACTAAAAATACCAAGCTGTGCATACAAGCACCACAGACTTTGAAAAAGACTTTTTTGAAACTTTGGCCAACAACACAGTTTTAGGTAAAACAATGGAGCATGTACATGTACATGTACGTAAATGTTGATCAGGGACTACAACGACAATGACGCCGAGAAGTTTAAAAGGTTGTCGGCTACACAAAGTTTTAAGAGCGTGACACCATTTCCAGAATGGGACGTGTGGTGTGGAACTTTCTAAAATAAAAGTGGTGCTTAATAAGCCGATCTACACTGGCGTAAACATCCTCAATTTGTCAAAGATGTTAATATTTGAATTTTATTACAAAACGTTGAAAGCCCATTATGGCGACCGCATGCGGCTACTTTATACCGATATTGTTAGTTTGCTTTGTGAGTTTCAAACTGAGGATCTCTACAAGGATCTAGCGCAGATCCAAGATCAACTCGATACGAGCAACTACCCAAAAGATCACCACCCGCTCATCTCACCGCCACCCTTTTCTTTAAAAAATTGAAAAAAAATATTGATATATAATCAAATCAACTTGCAACACCCATCAAACATTGAAACCAAAAAGTGTAACACTTGCTTCAAAGAAATACCATTGTTAGAGTTTAAGAAGTAAAAATTTAAAACCAACAAAACATTTAACACAGGTTACATACATGTAAATATTATTGCTGGGAATGTAGACCACAAACCAAAGAAATAGCGCAAAATGTCAAGGGTTATATACCTCAAGATCTCTCTTGTCAACAGACAAAAAATAAGTCACAGAGTAAAATCTGTAGGTAAAGCTAACTCTTTAAAACCAAACAAAAAAAAATAACCCACCCTCAAAAAAGAGGATGGGTTAAAATTAATGAAATTTATTTTAATATGTTATATAAAAAGTTCATAAAAGCATAAATGGATAGACCAAATAACCAAAATATCTCACCAAAGAATTGACCTGTGCTATCTGGTTTTACTCACATCCAAAAGTCACTTTATCTAAGTATATCGATAGTTACAAGTACCTCTACCCCCCACCATGCCCACCTCGATGCTGTCAACACACCAAAAAAGAACTTGTACAAACGATCCAAGCGAGCCAACGTCAATTTAAGAACTTATCGTGTCAATCATATCATCAACTCTTACAAATAGTATGAGACAATTGATTAAAACACACAGCTACAGGTCGACACGGTCACATACTTCGTAAAGACTTCATGCCTTCAATCAAAGCCTATATTCAACTAGAAACTGTTGAAGAAGTAGATATTCAGAATGTCAGACGATTTCAAGGAAACTTTTGAAACAGGAATTGGGACTTTTTTTACCAACCATTTAGTACACTCTTTTGACTTTCACCAAGGAGTCATTATGGCAAGACATAGACTTTCCTACTCTAGAGTCTCAAATACCATGTATTGAACCTCAAAGTGACTTGGCAAGAAACATATTTTGTTGTACTGCCAAAGACGGTGTGTTCCCCCCTACAAGACTGAAAACTGCAAAATAAACAAAGAACAAATCAATCTCCTTTTGTTTAGCAACGGCAAAAATGCACACTACTGTTGGATTAAAAACTTGTCAACAAACACAACAGTAAACAATATTTTTGCTTTAATTGTCTGGCTAAAAACTAGACAAGCACAAAGAAGACTGTCAAGGAATAGACATCGCTCCTTCCAAAGTAGTGTTACCCGAAAAAGACAACAACTTTTTCACATTTAAAACTATAAAAACAAGCAAGACACTCCCTTTGTGATCTGAATCTGTGTTAGAACCTGTGCCAACACCTCTACAGAAGTGAAGAGGTGTTACAAACTTTATAGAGTCTCTCACTGGAGAAGTATTGTAGATAACACTAACCAGATGTTTGCCAACCAAAACCTCTAGGCTGGTTGTCTGAACTTCAAAAACAACACCTGTTGGATCTGCGAGAAGATCATACCGGTATATCCTATCAAAAACTATCAGTGTCAATGCCCTATATATAAAAAACAAAAAAAACGTATTGTAAGGCATGAATTTTAGTTTTAAAAACACCAAAGGTTTTATTGACTACGTCTGCATGA